GGTTTTAGCAGAGAGATTTATTGCGCAGGTTCAGAAGCAATAGCAACTGGCAATTCTGAATCCCGAGGGTGGGTTCAGACTTCAGTTTTTTTTTTTTTTTTTAAAAATAACATTTGCAATTTATAAAATAATTAATAATAATAATAAAAATCACAGTAATAATATATATAATAATAATATACATAACATAAACTTTAAAATGAATAATATATACTAAAAAAGAAAAAAAAGAAATAAGAAAAGAAGAGAGAGAGAGAAAGAAGAAAGAAGAAAGTAGACGAAGAATAAAGCATATATATATATAAAAAAAAATATATATATATATATATATGAATAATAATACGTAAAAAATGTATATATATAAAAAAAAAAGAAGAAAGAAAGAAAGAAAAAACAATCATTACAAATTATAAAAAGGCTAAATAATATTTTTCCATATCCAAATTATGTTGTATAAAATTTATCCATTTTTCCCATACCGCAAGAAATTTTTCTTGAGATTGCTCCTTTAAGAAAGCCGAAATCTTTGCCATTTCTGCCAAATACGAAACTTTATGAAACCATTCTTGTAAAGTAGGCAAAGATTCCTTCTTCCAATATTGTCCTATTAACAACCTAGCGGCTGTAATCAAATTTAACATCAATATAACCTCCTTAGCATCACAGTCAATAACAATACCTAGTAAAAATAATTGCGGAGTAAATTTTACCCTCCTTTTAAAAATTCTTTGAATATTCCACCATATCTTAATCCAAAAAGCTTTTATATGCTTACACGTCCACCAAATATGGTAATAGGTAGCATCCAAATATCCACATCTCCAGCATTTCGGCTGTAGATTAGGGTACATAATGGACATTTTCTTTGGGTCAAGGTGCCATCTATAAAACATCTTATAAAAATTCTCTCTTAAATTTTGCGCTTGTGTGAATTTAACATTTCTTATCCAAATAAGTTCCCAAGTATCCATTGAAATCGTTTCACCAATGTTCTGTGCCCATTTAATCATACAATCTTTAACTAGTTCAGGTTCTGAATCTAATTCCACTAAAACCCCATAAACTCTCTTAATATGGGTTGGCCTTTGATCTCTTACTTGTTTTAAAAAAATTTCATCTTCTCTAAGCCAGCCCATTTTACAATCCATCTTCCATCTATCCACTATTTGTCTATATTGGAACCATGAATAAGTTAAATTTTCATGTGTTAATTCTTCCAAAGATTTTAACTGCCAGTCTTGGCCATCCCATCTTAGTAACTGTACGTAAGAGACCTTGTCCATATTTACCCCTTTCCTTATACCTTCTATGGCATGCCGAGGTATAGCCCATAATGGTATTTTGAAGTCACTTTTATAATACTTTCTCCACACTCTTAGCAAAGAGTTTCTTATAATATGAGACTTAAAAACCCAATCCACTTTTTTATTAAATATTAAGTAGGCATGCCATCCAAAAAGTAGGTCCCAACCTTCCAAATGAAGTATTTCTGTATTTGTTAAATTCACCCAGTCGCTAATCAATGTCAATACTACAGCATCATAATACAATTTCATATTTGGTACCTTGAGTCCACCTCTCTCACGAAAATCTTGCATTATTTTAAGTTTCACCCTTGGTTTTTTCCCTGCCCAAACAAATTTATTAATACCTTTTTGCCATTCATCTAAATTACGTTCGTTCTTTAAAATAGGTAACATTTGAAACAAAAAAATAAACTTTGGCAGGACATTCATTTTAATAACTGCAATTCTGCCCATAAGGGATAACTGTAAATTATTCCAGTTTTTTAAATCCTTCTGTACCTCCATCCACAGCTTTTCATAATTATTTTTATACAATTTTACATTAGAAGCAGATAATGTAACCCCCAAATATTTTACCTTATCAACGATTTCAAAGTCTGTTAAGTTAACTAAAGCCTGTTTATCACCATTAGTCATATTTTTAGCTAATATTTTGGTCTTATTATTATTAATTTTAAAGCCAGAAACACGTCCATATTGTTGAATCAATTGTAATAATTTCACCACCGAAGAAACAGGTTGAGACAAAGTAACAACCAAGTCATCTGCAAAGGCTCTTAATTTATATTCTTTTTTATTAATTTCTATTCCTTTTATTTCTTGAGACTCCCGAATTTTAATCAACAAAATTTCCAGTGTTAAAACAAACAATAACGGAGACAACGGGCATCCCTGTCTTGTTCCTTTTTCTATTACAAAAGCCTCTGACAAACCCCCATTTACAATAATTTGAGCAGTCTGTTTTTGATATATATTGGATAATACTTGTAATATATTTTGTCCAAAATTCATCTCCTTAATTAAACACAGCATACTTTCCGTTTCTCAGGAACAAAGGAATACACATTGAAATAGACATTGTAATACATTAGGTTTGTTTCTCACCGGTATACAATGGAGAGAGTTTGCTACATACATTGTATCCAAGTGCAATGCGCATTAGGTTAGTCACATACTAATCACACAGCCCTATTCCAGTAATTATGCAGACACATCATTATTCTAGTGATTGTTCATTATTCCACATTAGCACTGGTTCGGCAGAACCGGTAGCTAAATTTTGTTGAGTTCGGAGAACCGACTGAATGCACACCGCTTCCGGAAGTCCGTTCTAGGCCTCAGAGGCGTGGAGGAGGCCTCCCAGTCCTAGAACGGCCTGCTGGAAGTACATGGATGCCATTTCCGGAAGTCTGTTCTAGGCCTCAGAGGCCTGAAGGAGGTCTCCCAGGCCTAGAGCGACCTGCCAGAAGTGCATGGATGCCACTTCCAGAAGTCCATTCTAGGCCTTGGATGCCCAGGCCTGCATCCATGCAGAGAAGTAGTTGTTCAGGTATTTGAATCCCACCACTGGGGCGGGGGGCGGAGATCAACCTGTTCTCCAAAGCACCTGAAGGCAGGACAAGAAGCAACGGATGGAAACTAATCAAGGAGAGAAGCAACCTGGAACCAAGGAGAAATTTCCTGACAGTGAAAAGGATTAATCAGTGGAACAACCTGCCTCCAGAAGTTGTAGATGTTTCATCACTGGAGGATTTTAAGACGAGACTGGGCAGGCATTTGTCTGAAATGGTATAGAGTCTCCTGCCTGAGCAGAGGATTGGACTAGAAGACCTCCAAGGTCCCTTCCAAATTCAGTTCAGTTTTGTTCTATTGGTTTGACTGCAGCAACATGCTCTACCTGGACCTGCCCTTGAAGATCATCTAGAATAGGGGTGTCAACGCTGAATTTCATTGAGGGCTGCATCACCATTGCAGTTGCCCTTGGGGTGGTGGTGGGGGGTGGCTGGGGGGGGGTGCGGCCTACTGGGTGGGCGTGGATGGAGTGGGTGTGGCCTACTGGGTGAGTGTGGCCATCTCTACACCATTCACGTCAAGGGTGCCTGTGCGGGCCTGGGCAGGAGTGGGGCAGATATGAAGGTCTCTGGCAGAACGGGGTGGGACCGGGGCAAGCGCCAAGGCATGGTGCATTTCTTCATTCCTCACAAAGGGTGACCCCTCCCCAGCATGCACTCAGGGGGCGGGGCCAATATGGCAGGGGCTGGTTCCTCGCTGTTTCCAGACGGCCTTGTGGAGCTAAGACTGAATGCGTTTCAGCATAGATGGCCACCACAAAATTGTACATTGGCTCCCGGCCGGCCTGGGCCAGGGCCAAGGCAGTGGGGGCCGTTCCCTCACTGTTCCCAGGATGGCTTCGCAGGCCACATGAAACCACTTTGTGGGCCGCATCCGGCCCCCGGGCCTTGGGTTTGACATGTCTGGTCTAGAAGCTTTTTTCTGTTATATCGGTTATAATGGTAGCCTTTAATTTGTAAATGAGATTTGCCTCAAGGGACAGGAAGTCTTTCCGCTGCAACCATAATTGAGCCCAACAACCATGGTTTTAAGTACAGGTAATCCTCGACTTACAACCATTCCTTTAGTGACCGTTCAAAGTTACAACAGCACTGAAAAAAAGTGATTTGTGACCGTTTTTCACACTTACGACCTTTGCATCATCCCCGCGGTTGCATGATCAAAATTCAGACATTTGCCAAACTGACTCATCTTTATGACGGTGGCAGTGTCCCGGGGTCATGTGATCCCCCTTTTGTGACCTTCTGACAAGCCATGTTAATGGGGGAAGCCAGATTCACTTAACAACTGTGTGACTAACTTAATAACGGCAGTGGCAAGGAAGGTCGTAAAATGGTCATCCGGTCATCCGCCTGTTGCCCCCAACAATCTGGGTCCTCATTTTGCTGACCTCGGAAGGACGGAAGGCTGAGTCAACCTTGAGCTGGTCAGGATTGAACTCCTGGCAGTGGACAGAGTTTGCCTGCAGTACCGCATTCTAACCACTGCGCCATCATGGTTCCTTCCTTCCTTCCTTCCTTCCTTCCTTCCTTCCTTTCTTCCTTCCTTCCTTCCTTCCTTCCTTCCTTCCTTCCTTCCTTCCCAATAGTACTTAGACTTATACCACTTCACAGTGCTTTGCAGCCCCTTCTAAGCGGTTTACAGAGTCAGTTTATTGCCCCCAACAATCTGGGTCCTCATTTTACCGACCTCGGAAGGATGGAAGGCTGAGTCAACCTCAAGCCCCGTCGGGATCGAACTGCTGGCAGTGGGCAAAATTAGCCTGCAATACTGCATTCTAAACACTGCGTCACCACGGCTCTTATTGATATCAGGTTTATTGCAAGAAAAGAGGGATTCGGTTACAGATTCGGTTACAGAATCTTGGAAACTGATTATGTGATGTTTTTGCCCTTCCCCCCTCCCCTCAGCAGGTATATTAAGGCACGTCGATGTCTTTGGTCTGTTTTCTAATTCTTGATATGAGAGAAGCCGGCTACCCGTTTATGTATTTATTTATAACTATTTATAACCGTAACTCTTGAAGATGGTGAATTTGTGGGGGATACGTATCCCCCTGTGGCTAGCTTTCATAGTTGGTGTATAAATCAGGGGTTTAATTCTATTTTCACTTCCTTTTAG